GGGTAGTTTAGGTCCCCTGCCGTCTGCGTCTCTTTAGTTTTTATGGTCTCCGAGAGCTGCCTCAGGAGCCCCGAGTCTAATTCTTCCCCTTGGTGTGGGGGTCTGTAGCAGACCCCTACCACCAAATCCCTTTCTCCTTGCCCCCCATGTAACCTAACCCACAATCCTTCTACTTTCTCCTCCTTTGATTCCGTCTTGACGAGGGTCGATGTGTATTGCTCATCGACATAGAGCGCAACCCCTCCCCCTTTCTTCCCCACCCTGTTCTTTCTGTACAGCCTATAACCCTCAATATGTACCGCCCAGTTGTGGGAAGAATCCCACCAGGTTTCTGCTAGCCCTACTAAGTCGTAGGTGTTTTCTGCAAGCAGGAGCGCTAGTTCATCCTGCTTGTTCCCCATGCTCCTAGCATTAGTATATAGGCACTTGAGCCCTGTGACTGGTGCCTTTGCTGCCCCCCAGCTCCGATTCCCAAGGGGCCCCTTATTGCTTACCCGCTCCATGTGCAATGGTGTGCTTTCTTTTAAAGAACACAAAACAGTCGTGCTAAAGTTAAAATAAAAGCCACGCCTGTGGTTTTCCTGTGGATCAGTCATTCTAGTTTTTCTTCACCATGAGGGTGGTGACATATTGGAGCAGGTGGTCTAGAGAGGCTGGGGACCCTAAGCCTGCAAATATGTGGGCCCATGAATGGGTGTGAGCTGCTCCATTGAGTTGACATATGTTCTGCCCTCCTCCTGAGCCGAACATGACTAGTGCACACACAGGGCTCAGGGGAGGTGGCATAACACTGACCGCTGTTCTTCTCTCTCTGATCCTGCCCTTCTTCCCTGCTGCCAGGTATAACCACTGGTTTGATGGCATGGCCCTTATGCACCAGTTCCGAGTAGCAGAGGGCAGTGTGACCTACAGGAGCAAATTCCTGCAGAGCGATTCTTACAGGGTGAACAGCCAGCACAACCGGATCGTGGTCTCTGAGTTCGGCACCTTGGCCATGCCAGATCCATGCAAGAGCATCTTCGGGCGCTTCATGGCCCGGTTTGAGCTGCCAGGTAAGGGGTGAACCAGACAGATGCCGTGTCCCTCGAGGCAGCAGGTGTCCATCTGGGAGCTGTGTTTCTGGGGATACTGCAGTGGGAGCTCTGTGAAGCTGGGTGGTTCAGTTCTGAGCAGATGCTTTTCTTAGAAGACCGCCCCTCTCCACAAGGCTGAGCCTGTGGTCGCGCTCTGCTGGGAGCAGTGCACTTTGCTTGGGGTTGTCTTCATCCAAAATAAAATTGTAGTTCCTGGCTAACAAAGCTACTGGCTCCTTGGGCCTGGCTTCCAAAGGCTTAGGCAGCCTTGGAGGGGGCTCTGCACAGGTCCCTCTGTGCATCAGTGGGGGGCTGCACCATGTCTGATTTGCTTCGTGGCAGGGTTCTGAGTAGAAATGCCCTCTCCTGAAGATCCCCATGCATTGTCAGTCAACAACCTTGAGTGGTCAGATACAGCCCTGCCCTGAGAGCACCTTGCCCTGCTTGGTTTGTAGGTCACTAGGCTAATGGCCATTGTATCCTAACAGAAAGCAGCAAGTGATATGGGGCCTGCTTGCCCACTGGTGATCTGGCCTCAGATACCACATGCAGTCTGAGTGCTGTGCTCCTGGTTTTGGTTGCATGGTGGCATCTGGGAGGTGGTCTGGCTTTATAAGAAGAGCTACTGCAGCCCACTCCAAAATCCCCTTTCCCTCAGCTCTGTGTGATACCACCTGCAATATGCATTTCCTTTCCCTTGCAAGGACCTGCAGCGAGGCTGCATAATGGGTTGTTAATGCCTGCCCCAGCATAAGAGAGATCTGTGTTGTTCTTTGGCCTGGAGGCAGGTCTGTGGGTGCCACTGCTGTGACTCCATCCAGGGAGGTGGTTGTGTCATTGTGAATGGGGTTGTTTGTGTAAATCTGTCTCATTGACCATGCTGGGACCTGGGCTTAATGCAGCTGCCTGCAGCATGGGGATTTTATTGCAGAGTCCACAGACAACTGCAGCGTAAACTATGTGATGTACAAGGGGGACTACTACGTCAGCACGGAGACAAACTTCATGCACCGAGTAGATCCGGAAACCCTTGAAACGAAGGAGAAGGTGATGGGCAGGGGGGTTGTGGGGTTTGTGCCCAGCTTGGGCCTCACCAGATAAGTGGGTCTTTGAGTTCACAAGTGCACTAGCAAGAATTGAGGGATGCTCCATGCCCCAGCAGAAAAGGCCTCTGGTGACAGGTGCCAAAATGGCCAGGGCAGCAGTGACAGCTCTTGGTCACCCAGCAGAGTCAGTGATGCCTCTGTTGTCCATGTGCTTTGGAAGAGCCACTTGATCACAAAGGCAGCTGCTGCGCTGGGAGGCCCAGTTGCTCCCGCTAGCAGGGTCAGACTTCTTGGAGCGGTTTTCTCAGCCAGGGTCCAGCTGGCCCTGTCCCAACTCACTCCTCTGCTCCTGTCCGCCACCTCTAGGGTACAAAGAGCCAACACAGGCTCTTGGGGAGTGCCAGGGGGATGCATGGAAGCACTCCTACAGGATCCTGGCCTTTCCCTGCATCCCCTCAATCTTCCATGTGCTCCAAGCCCTGAGCTGCTTCAAGGACCTGCACCTCTTTGCAGTTGCCTAATGTACTTGCAGACTTTAAGGACAGGTGCCCATGGCTAGCCAGCACCACAGACAGGCATAAACCAGAGGGAAAAGGCTCTGTCTTGCAAGTTGTTGTGTGCAGAGTCATGCTCACTTGCGTGGGCTGTACAATACCCTACGTCATGCTGTGTGAGAGTGTTTGCCTCTCCTGTTAAAGCCACAGTGAAACTCTTGTAGGTCTGCCAGGGTTCATCTCTAGCCCAAGTGTTGAAGGGGGTAGGGCGGGGGGTGAGGAGGTGGGCGGGGCAGGGGATTGATTTCTGTTTTCAAATGTCATCGCTCAGTGAGATGCTTATCGGTGGTTTTAGTCTTAAATCGTGTAGTCCGGGAAAGACGTGAGATGAAGCGGTTATACCTTTTCTGGCCTAATGATACAGCTGGCAGGATGTGAAACAAATTTTGGGGAAGCAAGAACCCTGATTCATTCAGGTCATAGTGTGTCCTTTGAAGGCATTTTGTGGCAAGCACCTAGAAGGTGTCACTTGCCTGGCACCTCTGGCAAATGTGCTGTGGCTAGTAGTCAGCCATGCCCACACTGATGCCCTTTTGCACTTGCAGGTGGACTGGAGCAGATTTGTGGCAGTGAATGGAGCGACGGCTCATCCACACTATGAGCCTGACGGGACAACATACAACATGGGCAACTCCTACGGGCAGCATGGTAAGGCAGGCCCTGCAGGAAAGTCGGACCGGCTGCTTGGCGCCTCTCCTAGGGCACCTCTGAAGTGATTAATGGTGCTGCAGGGCACAATGTGGGCAGAGTAGGCTGGGCTCTGAGTTATGGCAGCCATCCCTGGACATCAGTTTGCCACAGTGGTCCTGATCCTAACCACTGCCATGCCCTGTGCCTTGGGGCTGGCTGGCAGCAGGTGCGGTGGCCTGTTCCAGTGGGTACTGGCTGTGTGCCACAGGTCCATGGGCTGGTTCCTCCTCAGTGTAGGAAGCAGAGGTTGCTAGAAAGAGTCTGAGGCTGGAGCTAATTCAAAGCCCTTCACATCAGTGAGAGGGTTTTCCACTGATTTGAATGGAGGCCTTCCTGGGAGTGGTCTGGAATAAAGAGTGCCCTTTTCCCTTCCCTGCTCCTTGCTGCTTACTCCTGGCTAGGCCAGATTGCAATGCCCAAGCCCCACGCAAGGGGCTGCTCAACCTGATTTCGTTACTCCTGGAGTGCCCTGGGCTGCCAGGCTCAGTCCTGACCTCACTGCTCTTTTATTCTTGATGCATGGTCCATGCTTCAGGAATGTGCATCCAGCTCCTGCCTGGCCTGGGCTCTGCTCCCATCGCCTCTGTAGTTACTCACATGAGCCTTGTCCACCCCCTTGGGGATGACTAAATTCTGGGATAAACTATTGTGAACTTTCCTTGGGACGCAAGCTGCCATTTTTCCCTTTGATACAGCCACTGCGAAACAAGGATCTGCTCTGTATCTTCAGTGTGTTTCAGGGGAGGATCGGATGCTAAAGCTGGAGCTCCTGCTAAGAAATGCACCCACGTGGTGCCAGTGCCAGGTTAGGATGTAGGCTAGCCTGCACCCTGGGCCACAGGGACAGGCTTGGGAGACCTTAGCACAGATCTAAGGCAGGCTTGCATGCTGCCCAGTCAGTGAAGGAAAGGGGTGAGCACCTCTTTGGCAGAAGGCGTGAGAGCCTGCCCAAGGCCACTGTGCTGGGGAATGCCAGGCAAAGCTTTAGCAGCTGGTTATTTGGGGATTTAGCAGAAGCAGCTGACGGGATTTCAGGGTGTCTGGCTGGACTATCTAAGTCCAGTATTCAGATTTGTTGCCATGGGGACTGAAGCTAACAAATCCCCTCTCTAGCTTGAAAAAATACCCCAGCTCATGCATTCTCCAGTCATCTCTAATCCATCCAGGAGGTGAGCACGGCTGTGGCTAATGCCTGGCCTGTGTCTCGGGACTAATGTGCACTCTTTCTTCTCCGCAGGCTCCAAGTACAACATTATCCGGGTCCCTGCACAGCGGTTGGCCTGTGGGGATACTCTGCAGGGTGCGGAAGTGCTGTGCTCCATTGCCCCGGCAGAGAGGAGGAAGCCTTCCTATTATCACAGCTTCGGTGAGGGTCTCCCATGTCCTCCAGGTGGACTCAATGCAGCTCATGGATTGACATGTGCTGTCACAGGGCAAAGCAGACTGACTCCCTGTTTCCCTGCTGCTTGCCTTTGGGAGCAACATGTGCTGAGTCTTTCCCCTGTTCTACCCCCTCAGGGATGAGTGAGAACTATGTGATCTTCATCGAGCAGCCCCTCAAGATGGACCTGTGGCATATCATCACCGCCAAGCTCCGGAGGAAGCCCATTTCTGAAGGACTCCGCTGGGAGCCGCACTGCAACACGCGCTTCCACGTGGTGAATAAGCACACGGGGCAGGTAGGCCTGCAGCTCCTTCTCTTCACATTGCAGGGTCCTGGGTGGAGTGGGTCACAGCAGAAGCTGCTGCACTTGGGGCTTAAAGCCAGTGGCTTAGACTTCCTGGAGAGGGAATCTCTGCCATGCCCCAGGAAACCAAGGGGAAGCCAGTTAGGGGCTTGTGAGAGCCTGTTCTGGAACTACACAATTGCTCAAGGACTGAGAAGCCCAGAGCTTCACTCGGTGGTGCTAGATGGCAAGTGTAGGACCCCAAGAAGGGCCTGAGTGCCAGCCACTGCTGCCCCTTCTTTGGTCAGAGACATGGATTCTCCTGCCACTGGTGGGAGTGGATCTACAGCATGGACACAGTGCCCTGGAGATGGAACAAGGTGCAAGGGGATGCTTACTGTGATATGCCAAGACCCAGTTGGTCTTGCACTGCTGCTGATCAAGGGAGCTGTAAACTGCCATCCCAAAGGGGCTTTAACCAGCAGAAAGAGTGGGGAAGGTGAGAGGGGCTGAGATGCAAACCTTTCTCTGGTCTCCCTGCAGCTGCTTGCAGGTCAGTTTTACAGCAAGCCTATTCTTACTTTCCACCAAATCAATGCCTTTGAAGACCAGGGCTGTGTGGTGCTAGACATCTGCTGTCAGGACAATGGAGACTCCTTGGCTATCTACCAGCTCCAAAACCTGCGCAAAGCTGGGGAGGGCCTGGACCAGGTAAGGCTGCAGAGACTGGCTGGCCCTGGGCTGGTGGAGCTGCAGAGTGGCTTTGTATTCCCTGGTGTTAGCCTCGTGGGGGTGTGGGTGACTCTTATGTGCAAAGCAAGAACTTAAGACACGACTTGTATGAAAGTGGAAGTGGAGGGGATGAGAGTGGGCCAGAAAGGGCAGTAGGAGGAATGGAGAAGGTAGTTGCAGCCCTGTGCAGCCTGGCTCTTCTCTGCCCAGCAGTGCCCTGCCATGCTGTAGAGGGCAACACGGAGCTATGCTGGACTGGTCCTGACCAGCTCCTATTGCTACGTGCTGTGCTGTAGCATACTGCACCTGCTGCACTCTGTGGGAAGGCACTGTGCTGAGCTCAGACACGCTGCCTTCCCTTGGCATGCAGGGAGGCACCTGCAGCATGGGCCCAGCCCATGCCAGTTGTAGCTGGGCACCTTGCTCTGCCAAACTGACCCACAGGAGAAAATATCCTGCTGGTGCCCTGTGGGGAATTGGAGGCACTATTACATGCAACACAGCCCTCATCACTGTAGACTGTATTGGTTCATACCAAATTCGGTTGTGCTGCCTAGAGCAGGGGTGTCAAGCATGGGGTGCAGATGAGCTTGAGGACCCTGGCTTAGAGCGTCAGCTTTATAAGGCAGGGAAGAGGGATCCGCTTGGTTTCCACACATCCATATTATCAAATGAATGCAAATTCATTCCACCCCCATAACTCTTAATGCCGTTTTCAGAACCTTAGCCTGTTTAGGGAAGGGGGAGAAAGGGGCTTTGTTTTACTTTGGTTTTAGCTAGTTAGAGTCATGTCAACAGGTTGTGTGCTTCACTTAAACCTGTGTGTGTACAGGCACTGGGTCTAGGGCAGAGACCAGCCACAAGTGCCAGCCCAATCCAGGATGTGGGACCATGTCATGCAGCTGAGGGGACTCTCCACTGGTCTGGGAATTTGGTGGGGAAGGAGCGGTGGCAGTGGATCCAGCCAGCAGACCCTTTGAGCATCACTGGCAGAGCCTGTTCTCACCATATTTATACGCATATAATGCATACTCCAATTTCCCCCACCTGGTGTTAGGGGAAAGGCTGTGAGTTCTGTGTGTGGAAATATACTATTTAAAATACTATTAAAGACCTTACTATACAAAGTCTGTGGTAGGGGAAAAAAAGAAAGGTGGAGGGATGGGGGACTTGCATGTATTTCAAGAAGCAATGTGTGGGTATTGGTTCCACTCGCACATTAGATAACCGACGCTTCATCACAACCCTGCTCCGCAGAGACCATTCAAGTATGATTTCACTAATGTGTCTCCCGTCTCAGCAGAAGAGCATGTTGTTACATGAGTCCTGTGTTGTTTTCCTCTCCTTGAATTTAGGCTTTTTTTCTTAATGAGAAGGCTAGAATTGTAGTTAATTTTATTCCAGAACTTCTTGATGTACTGCCCTTCCACAAATATTTGTACAGGCTGTTAGAAAAATACCCTGCGCTGCTCCCAGACATGGTTTATGTGAAGCCTATGAGTTTTCACTCAGGGTACTTACGGACATTCCTCAAGGAATCCATTTCTAAGCACTTGGAGGAGAAGGTGATTAGGAACAGCCAGTATGGATTCACCAAGGGCAAGTCATGTCTGACTGACCTGATTGCCGTCTCTGATGAGATGACTGGCTCTGTGGCTGGAGGAAGACCAGTGAATGTGGTATATCTTGAGTTTAGCAAGGCTTTTGATACGATCTCCTACAACGTTCTCACAAGCAAGCTAAGGAAGTACAGGTTCAGTGACTCAGCTGTAAACTGGCTAGAAAATGGGATAGATCATTGGGCTCAGAGGATAGTAGTCAATGACTCTGTCTAGTTGGCAGCTGGTAGCAAGTGCAGTTCCCTCGGGGTTGGTCCTGGGGCTCATTTTGATCAATATTTTCATCAATGACCTGGAAGGGTAATGACATCCTGGGCTGCATGGGTAGGAGCATTGCCAGCAGATCGAGGGCAGTGATTATTCCCCTCTATTCAGCACTGAGGGGGTCACATCTGGAGTCCTGTGCCCAGTTTTGGGCCCCCATTACAGAAAGGATGTGGACAAATTAGAGAGTCCACTCAAGGGCAACAAAAATGGTTCAGGGGCTGGAGCACATGACTTCTGAGGAGAGGCTGAGGGAACTGGCTTATTTAGACTGGAGAGGAGAAGACGGAGCGGGGATTTAATAGCAGCCTCCAATTCCCTGCAGGGGGTTCAAAAGAGGATGGAGCTGGACTGTTCCCAGTGTGGCAGAGAACAGGACAAGGAGCAATGGGCTCAAGTTGCAGCAAGGGAAGTTTAGGTTAGATATTAGGAAAAACTTTCTCACGAGGAGGGTAGTAAAGCACTGGAATGGGTTACCCAGAGAGGCTGTGGACTGTCTATCCTTGGAGTTTTGTAAGGCCTGGCTAGATAAAACCTTGGGATGATGTAGTTGGGGCCCATCCTGCTTTAAGCAGGGGGTTGGTCTAGATGTGACCTTCTGAGGTCCCTTCCAGCCCTCATGTCCTATGATTCTGTGACTGTGCCTTCCCCTGTGAAGCTATGAAGCGGGGAAGGTGGCGAGTCATTTCTAGAGCACATATTAACAAATGCAGTGGTTCACATGTCTTTGCTTAGGAGATCTATCTTTGATTACACGCATACCTCACCAGCAGAAGTTGTGATGTTTTAAAGGCCTGTTTATCTGAAGCTTATCTCCTTGGTTTAACCTGTTCAGTGGCACCTCTGTGCCCTTGTGGACACATTTCCTCATTATTGGGGGCCCTCTGGGTTTGGCACAGCTGACAAGCTGATAGGTGTCCAGCCTGGTACCCACCTCCTCTGGGTGTTTGGTGCTGGGCTTTCCCATCTCCTACAAATCCCATCTCCTACAAGAGCTAAAGCTCTTGCTCCTCTTGGGCCTATGCTGAGCCCAGTTAGCAGAGGGCTATGGGGGCAGGCTGTGAAAACACTCAAGGGCATCTGCCTTTACCTGAGACGTACAAACATGCACCTGCAGCCCATTCCCCGGGGAAGGCCTTGGGCCAGTGGTCTTTCAACCTTTTTTCATTTGTGGCCCCCTAAAAAAAAAATTGACTGTAGGCACAGACCCCTTTAAAAATCTATTGTGTGTATAGCAAACATAAATAGGTAATTACTGATAACCAGTTGTGTTAAAATAATAATAATATCAATGATAACAATAACACAGTTTTGTGAACTCACCATTTCAGTATCAGTTCTAATGAGATGGTTGAGCTTGTTTCTTGGAAACAGGGAAAAAGGATGTGAAAGTTTGGTAGGGTAGATGACAGTTTCAGTCTTAGATCTCCTGAAACATCCCATTTGTGTTTGTGTTTCCTTTTATCGATACTAAGACTGAAAATCCACTTTTGCATAAGTACGTGGTAGTGAACGACATCAAGGAGTTAATGGTTTTATCCGTCGGATCAGAGTACTCCTTTTTTATCTTCAACCAGAATTGGGCAGGAGGTTCCTGGTTGAATTCAAGTTTCAGTCCATTGTCACAGGGTAACTCAAGTCATTCCTCTTCTTCTTTAGCTGTTAGGACCTAGAGTTGCTATCTGCTACAAAGGGGTTATTCTCATTCTCACTGCCCACTTCAGGAACGCAAAAACTGCAAATCTGCAAAACTGAGATTTGAGCACCAGCAAGTATTTCTGGATTCGCTTTTCACATCTGTCTAGTGGCAACTCATTTTCAGACAAAAAAGTTGTCAAGGGATTTGAATGTTTTGAAAGTTGTTTTGCTTTTACTCAAGGAACCCAGAGTGAAGTTTCTTGATGAAAGCCACCAGATACAGTTCCCTGCATATGCAGTTAATCATTCACCCATGGATTCCCCCAGCTTCTCAAAATAGACCCTCATGCCTTCGTATGTATTATACATGTGCTGTGAAGAGAGAAAGTCAGGGCACAGACCGAGCGAGTAGATGTATCCCCATACCCCACTAGACTTCTGCTGGTGGCCTCCCGTGAGTTTTGTAGAACTGACATTTCTCTAAAAACATGTGCAGTTCTTATCGTTCCAAAAAAGCTTTCCATAAGTGCCTCAAGGCACTGCCAGTTTTCCCAATGGAGATTCCATCCTAACTGGTATGTGCTCTCTGTCTCTCACACACACGCACATCCACACCCACATCCAACAGCAGCAGCACCGGCAGTGCTTCCCCTTAGGGCGGGGGTCGCCATCTTTACAGCCACCTGGGGGTCCGTGGACCACAGGTTGAAAACCCGTGCCTTGGGCAATACCTGGGATGGGGTTTCTAGCTCCCATCTCAGCACTGATCGCACAAGGGGCGAAGAAGAGCTATTGCTAAAGGCCTCAGTCCCCATCTGTCACTGGTGCTTGGGGGCAGGCTGTGGGGCAGGGGTTAGGCCCCTTCACCGGTGCTGATCCCATCAAGGGGACCTAGTTTAACCATCTGTATTCCTCTCTTGCCCTCCCCCACACCTAATTGCCTCTCTTCCTTCCAGGTCTATAATGCGGTGCCCAAAGCATTCCCTCGCCGCTTCGTCCTCCCTCTGACCGTGAGCTCAGACACACCTGTGGGGCAGAACCTCAGCCCCCTGTCCTACACGTCAGCGAGCACTGTGAAGGAAGCAGATGGGAAGGTAGGTGTCAAAGCCACAAGCAGCTGCATTTAAGGAAATGGTGCAGCCTCATCTGCCCTGGGAGGGATCTCCTAGACACTGCAAAGTGGGGCCCGCATGTGCTGGGACTTGCTGCTCCAGTGCAGGTGGAAGTCAAGTCCCTGCCTTCTCCTGGCTACAGCACTACTATTGGCTGCCTTCCCTTCATTGCCTTTTCATGGTGCTGTGGCTGCCGTGCCAGCCACTGCACTCCCTCCCAGAGAGAGTAGAGGACCAAGCAACACCTTCCGTTTGTCAAATGTTTTCGGCTCCTTTCAGCTGGCAGTGCACAAGCACATGCTGCTGCTCTTAGGGCTTGGGGGAGGTCTTTCCCTGGGAAGTGAAAGCATGAGGGCCCTTTTGATGTTCTCAGGGCGATGTGCTTGTGGGTGGACAAGAAAGCCAGGAGGAGACAAAGCCACAGCAGCCCCCACAAGCCTGTCACCTTTCCGGCCTGGCTGTGTCAGGTGTTCCTGGAACTAGATAGGCATCAGCGTTCCTCTCTGCTTGCCCTAGGTCTGGTGCACCCACGAAGACCTCCACCCTGAAGGTCTGGAGGAAGCCGGGGGCTTGGAGTTCCCCCACATTAACTATGCCCAGTGCAATGGCAGGAAGTACCGCTTCTTCTACGGCTGTGGCTTTCGTCACCTGGTAGGAGCTTCACTGATCAAGATTGACACAGAGACCAAGGAAATGAAGGTGAGATGATGTAGCTGCCTCTTTCGGACCCAGCTGCTGTCTCCACGGAGTGACCTCCCTGTCACCTCGCTGCTGCTATCCTGTTGTGCCTGTGCCTCCCCCCCTCCAACTAGCACAGAGAATAGGTTGGAATTTCTGTAATGGAGGGGGATAATTGGTCTCCATTCCTTTTCAGGACTGGGCATCCTCCACCTGCACTGGAGCACCCTCATATAAGGAGGGGTCTTGCTCTGGGTCTCTGCACATAGCAGGGAAGGGGAATGGGAAGAGGAAGGGCCTGCATTTATGGGGGTCAGAGCATGATGCTCTTGACTGATGAAGGTAGGGGAAATGCTCATATATTGCTCAGTACAAATCCAATGGACCCCGTGGTGGAGCGCTAATGCTGCTAGCACACTTCAAGTCAGGCTGTTGATGCTCAGGACAGCAAACAGAGCCAGAGATATTGTATCCTATGTAAGGCACAGGCCTAGGCAGTTTATATTGTCCCCTGCTTTCCCTGGACGACTAGCAGTCTGGGCTGATGATGACAGATCCTCAGGCCAGGAATGGATGTGGGAGGGTGCAGTGGTGCAGTTGCACCCTGCCTTTGCTGCCAGGTCACTACCAAGACCTCTGGTCTCAGCTGTCGGACACAGGTGCAGTGAGCTCTTCACTGCTGGTGCACCCCACAGCCCATTTTTCCTGGATCCATCCTGGATTTGCTCTGGCCTCACCCTTGTCGGTGGCATAAAACAGTTGAGTCTGGAAAGCTTCTGCTGCTTTTCTGGATTTATGCCTCAGACCTCCTCCTATCTCTTCCATTGCCTGCCAGCACGTAGAGAATGGGGCTTTCCTGAAGCATAGTCTTAAATCACAGAGGCTGGTGTCATTCACAGCTAGGCCAGGCTGTGCATGGAGGCTTGGGGCATGTTGAACACTTCCAGGCACACAGGATCTCCGTATCTCTGGAGATCGCAGCACGGCCTGATCCTGCCTTGGGTATTAATGCAGCTCTCCATCTTGTCCTCCTTTGCTGCCTAGGTTTGGCAAGAGGAAGGCTTCTACCCGTCAGAGCCTGTGTTTGTGCCAGTGCCGGGGGCCACAGCAGAAGACAGCGGGGTCATCCTGTCTGTAGTGCTCTCTCCCTTGCAGGTAATTTGTTCTGTTGCTGGAAATGCTGGAGACAGAAATGCCAGTTGTGTGGGTTTTCACACTTGTGGGATGGATTCAGTGCTGTGTCCTGGACACAGCTGATACTACATCCCCAGGCTCATCTGCTTGCCAGGCCCTGTATGGTTGAGGGCTTTGCAGCCCCTCGCAGCCAGCAAGAGGCCACTTAACAGCTCTGTACCCAGAGGCAAAGCTTCCCTGAGGGCATATAGGTGTCCCTCCCTCCTGACCGTGTGTCCTGGGGGGTTCGGCTATGGCTGGATGCACCCCGGGGCTGGGGAGGGAGCCCAGAACTGCTGTTCCCTTTGCTTTTTGGTTCTGCAGAATCAAAGCAACTTCCTGCTCGTCCTGGATGCCGAGACCTTCAGCGAGCTGGGCCGTGCAGAGGTCCCCGTGCCCATGTCCTATGGATTCCATGGCATCTTTGTGCCCCGCTAGCAAATGGTACGCACCATGGCGACGAGACATTACAAAACCATTGATTAATAGAAAACATCATTAGGTACAGAATTTCTTTGGTTAATTAAAGCTTATGGGCAATGAGTACATACACAAATACATCCCTTTCCAGTATATACAGCAACAGAATAATTTTTACTGACTAAATCAAAGGTGCAGTGTTGAACTTTGTGTTGCTCGTACAGGCATTCATCTCGTGCTTGAAGATTCTGGTCCTCACACATACTCCAGATTGTTATGAGTTAGACATCCCTTGTTATTAATGGTCCTCCATTTACTCTGTTGCTTAAATGCCCATTGATGATGGTCACAGGGATACATCACAACCCCTTTACTCACTTCAAGACCCACGGATACCAGTGGATATATGGTAATACAAAAATTGGCACTAACAGTAACCACATGAGCTACAATTCGCTGTACGAATTGGTACAACATTGTACCAAATTAATTTATCAATTGCTGCAACTATAATTTGGTGTTTTTTTTTCAATTTGTTGAAGTACTGGCAGGATGTCTCCTACTACCTGTTCCCCAATTCCCAGGCATGACAATGAACTTGTTCATGGTTTCCCAGTGCTTTGCATTTCAGCCGTAGCATAGCTTAGTTTATTAGCTAAGACTTTAATGTTCATATTGTCCATGACAGCTGCTCCCAATCCAGCTTCACTCAGGCCAGTTGCTATAACATCTCTTCTTCACCTGTGGGTATACACCTGTGTAGTTTTAATATACCATAAATCCAACCAACATTGCCAACCTTGATGGCATGCCAGAATAAAAAGGGGGACGCCTTAAATTTTTAGCAATCATTATCACATTTCCCACACATAACCATAAAACTGAGTACCCTGTGAGGTCCATGGACACTGTATTTGATTTATGTGAGATAACTAGATGGGAACAATGGTTAAATAAGGGTAAATATAAAAGAAAAGTTTAAATAATACTATAATTCACCAGTCAAGCAGGCACAACTAAAGCTAAGTGGGACAAGCTACCTTAACACAAAGATACCTGTCGCTCAGGGCCAGGTCAAACCCCAGGTGCCTCTGCTGTTCTTATCCCCCACTATGCCCCATCCTCTCCTCCCATCCTCTGTGCTGCTCTGACTGGGACGTGGGGGGCTCTGGAGACCAGTACAGAGGACGGAGGATAACTCCAGCAATTCAGCGGTGATGCCATCTGCACAACAAGCAGTGCTGGCACTAACCTAACCCTGCTGTTTGTCTGTAGCCAGTGGAAGCCAAGGGGGGAGACAGACTTTGAACAAGGGTGACAGTGAAGCAGGGAAGAAGGATTTTATGGGCCAGGATCTCTTACTGCAAACAGAATAGTACAGTTCCTCCCTCCACCCTTCAGTTACCCCTTCTTTTGGGCTATTAACAACTGTAAAGGGTCACACCAAGAAGCAGAGGATTCAAGTAGGCAAATGGAGTAGATGGTATACACCAGAAAACCCTTCCAGAGCTCTCCGGACAAGCCCTGCTGCCGCCTGAGCCCTGGATTGTACTTGTGTTGCATTGGCCTGCATCCCCCCACCCCGGGCATTCACTCCAGCTCAGGCCAGTCTGGTTCTACATAAAGCTAGAGGCACCAAGGCAGGTAGCTGAGACTAGGTTTGCACCCATGAGTGTGTAATACCTAGAGAATCCCCACCCCCTCACAGAGGTGCAGCGCATGCCTTGGAGGCAGGAGCAGGCGATGTCCCCCGGTCTCAGCCAAGGTTGCTGGCTGCTGTGCTGCAGGCCAGATCAATGCACAGGCTCTTCTTTGCTAGCCCAACCTGTGTGTCCGCTATGATGCCTCTTGCGGTTGAAAGGAGCTCCTTTCTCAGTCAGCACAACCGACTCCACGTGGCTAAACACAAGGTGGTGCTCTACACCAGCCAGCGTCCCTGTTCTTCACTGCTGGAGCTTAGTACCAGTGTGCTAACACCTACTGGCTGCCTGCCTGAGCCCTGCTCCCCGGGCAGCAGCAATCCTGATGCTTCGCTCTAAGGAAGTATCCCTCGCTCACCAGGTACAGCCCTGCCTGGGGGAGGATGCTGTGTGTACTCCATCCTGGGGAGCAGTCACGGGGAGAGACCAGAAGCTGTGGGGTAATAAAACCTGTTGACTGCAAAAAGCATTGTCACCACTTTTTCTCCGTCCCCCACCTTACCCCTTCACACAGCAAAGGGTCAGCAGCTGCTGTGGGCAGGGCTCAGCCCAAAGCTAGATACAAGGGCTGGACACAGGCAGGAGGGAGCAGATATGGCCCATGAGACTTGAGCTTGGGCATAAAGCTTCATTTTATCACCTGAAAATGCCAGGTTTTGATCATGCTTCATGCATGTGCATCATGGTCTGTTGCAGCGGGGAGCTGTCCCTTTTCTTTTGTACTCAACAGCGTTGTAGTCCGTTTCCTGCACTTTGACTTTATGGCGGGCACCTGCAGGGTGGAGGCCCTCCCAGATGTACACAGCAATGCTCTCAGTCACGCTGCAGATGAGAGAGGCACCAAGTGACAGGTGAAAGGGAATGGGCAAATTATTGGCCAGGCACTGCTGTGAAGCAGGAAGAAAGAGAGCAAGCAGGTATTTGTCCTTCAGCAATAATTATTAACCTGATATCACCCATTCCAAGTCCTCAAGACTTCAGGGGATTTTGCTCTTCTACTCAGCATCAAACCGATTGCCAGGCTAGGAGAATTCCTTCCTTTCTGGCCCAAGTCTCATAAAGACCGTGGACTTTGCCCTTTCACTATAACTGGAACAAAGAAAAGAGCAAGTCAAACTAGATGGCTTCAGGCACAGCTGCTTCCTAATGGATGAATGAAGAGATGGAAGGCCTAAGGAAAGGGAAGACGGTGTGAATCCAAGCAGCAGCCTGATGCACAAAGGTTTGGACCTTTGCACCTGAGAGAAGGTGGCTGAATAGTTTGCAACAGGCTCTTAATTTGCTCTCTAAATCTCACCCCATCTATTTCACACCAGAAACCCTAATCACAGGAAATGAACAGCAGCCAAGTTGCAGCACTTGCATAGAGCAGGAGTTTTGCACTGTCAAGTGCCACTGTGCAAACAGGGGGCAAGTTTCCTCTCCCACAAAGCACCCATACCTCCTATCACAATCTGCCACCCGTCCCACACTGCCTGGCTGATTCAGCTGCCCATGACTGGCCCTGCGGGCCCAGTATTTCCCACAGCTTCTGAAGTTCATGAAGAGTTTGGTGCTTTCCATTGCACAGGAAGACGGTGGAGGAGCGGTCAATGTAAAGGAAAGGAGGCAGAAGTGGATGAGGCCACAGGATATAACATAGGCTGCTCTGAGCCCCAGTTTACTAGAATGTAGTGAGTATCCTGCAAACCCACTATTACCATCCAGTTCCCCTTCCGCCGTAGCTCAGTCCCTTGTGCTCTTCCCAAGCCAGTCGCCAGACCTGACACCACACTCCGACATGCCTCCTCACCCCCTACACAGCTGGGAGACATGTATGCCCCTTTGGGAGATAACACAGCAGAGAAGTGGTGCCAAAGACACACTGAGTTTTGTAGGAGACTATGAATGCAAGGAAAGCACTTGAAGACCTACAAAAAACTGGAACTCTTGGTTCCAAAATGATACCTTTTATTAGCCCAAGTGGGAAATCATAAGAAAATTGGAAAGTACTCGGGCGCTTTGAAAGACCGTGTGCAGCTGACGGCCCTGAACCAACAGCATCTCACCCCAGAGCACCAGCCCATGGCCGAGTACACACCTCTCTTCTGCAGCTCTGCCAAACATCAAAGCTGGAGAAGACAGGGAGGGAGTTGTATCTGTCCTGGTTTCAGCTCTGAAGTCGGGGTGTGCATTGCTGAAGTCGGGCACAAGCAGCATCGAACAGCGTAGGGTTGGGTTACCCCACCACATAAATACCAGCAGCCTGTCATGTGAATGACCCGTGGGCAGCATCAGGGAGCTGGGGCTGTGGGGCAGAGGGGAGCGAACAGGTGGCTCTGCTGTGCTGGAGGGCAGGGCTGATCCCACCTGGAAGGCTTGAGCAGGGAAGCACTTTTCCACTTGAGGTTCACCCCGTCACTGCTTGTGGCACGGATGGGGCATGCCCTGTAGGGCTGGCTTTAGGCATGTCCAAAACCCTAGCGTAGTCCAGAACGAGTCACAAGCCTCTGCTCCAAATCCTGCTTGAACTCGTGCAGGAGGAGCCGGCAGCCACGTCCTCACCTGGCTCCACGTGCCCGTTTGCTGCCATGACCCTCGTCGCTGTCACCGCAGCCTTTGGGAGGGAAAAGCACAGCAGGGCGAGCGCCCAGGGCCCTGAGACGCTGGGCAGGAGACTCCTGAGGGAAGGGGGATGGAAGGCTATTAATGGCCAGAGAGCTGCTTCCTAATTAATAGCTTTCATCTAGCGAACAGCGAGGTTGGAGACGTTTCCTCGGGCCTGTCTCCCCCAACAGCCGCTGGGTAGCAGGGAGGGCACTGAACGGGCACCGAGCACTGTAGGACCTCTGGGTCCGACCTCGCCTGCGCAGCATCCTCTTCTGCCACCGCCGGAAACCCGG